CTTTCTGAGAAAGGGTGTGTAAGAGATACAATTTTTTTGAACTTGTGTGTCTGAAAATGAATTATTTTGCTCTCACACTTGATTATTTGGTTGAGTATAACATTCTAGGTTAAAAATATTCAAATCGTTTACTCCATTGTCCTACAGCTTCCAGTGCTTTTACTGGCAAGTTCAAAGATATATTTATTCTTGTCCTTTTCATGCACCATGGTTCCCCCTCTGCTCCCCCCACCCCACCGTGCAAGTTTTTACGATCTTCTTTTGATTCCCATTGTTCTGAAATGTCACAATTATGTCCCTTGCTGTTGGTCTTCTTTTCCACTATGCTGGGCACTTAGTGCGCTGATACAGTTTGAAAATGCACATCTGACGTTTCTGAGAAATTTTTTTGATTATTTTGTTTAATATTTTCCTTTCCTCCATATCCTCTGCTCTCTCTCCTTTATTTGGATGTTAGATATCCTGTTCTAATCCACTAATTTTCTTAACTTTTCTCTCTTATTTTCATAGCTTTGTCTTTTTGTTCTACTATCTGGGACATTTCCTTGGTTTATCTTTCAATCCACTTATGGACTTTTTCATTTATGTTATCATGTTTTTAATTTCTAAGAGCTCATTTTGGTCCTGTAAATATTCCTTTACATGGCCTTTTTTTTTTTTGGCTGAGTTGGGTTTTTGGCGCTGCATGCGGGCTTTCTCTATTTGAGGTGAGCAGAGGCTACTCCTTGTTGCAGTACACGGGCTTCTCATTGCGGTGGCCTCTCTTGTTGCGGAGCAAGGGCCCTAGAGTGCATGGGCTTCAGTAGTTGCTGCACACGGGCTTAGTTGCTCTGCGGCATGTGGGATCTTCCCGGACCAGGGATCAAACCTGTGTCCCCTGCGTGGGAAGGTGGATTCTTAACCACTGCGCCACCAGGGAAGTCCTGACATTTTATTTTTCCATGGATGCAAAGTTTTCTCTCATCTCTCTAAAGGAATTAATTATAATTAAAACATTTTCTTCTGTTCTCTGCATTGTTTGTCTTTAATTGCTTGCTGTTGATTTGTTTATTTTAGTCTCTGCCTTTCTGCTTAAAGATTTTCTTCAAATGTGGAGTGATCCATGGTTCTCTGTTCATATGTAAGAGACTGGAATGAAAAGCTGATTGGAAGTTTTAGGTATATAGATGGGGCTTGTTGATCTTTGTTCTTCGTGGTAGAATGACATGGTTGGGTCATTTCAATGGAGATTCCCAACTGTCAATACTGGTCTGATTTCTTCAGCTGGTCAATTTATCCTGAGAGAACTCCAGCATTCTCTTGGCTGTCAGCAAAGTCTATGCTTCCTTCATGGCACTACCTTGTATAGTTAAGCGCTAAAACCAAGTTTTTAGTCTGACTGTTGTAAGGGTTCAGGCAAGGTAGGGATCAACGAGTGGCAGCAATGTTGGGGGAATCTTAATAAGTGATGTGTGATGTGGGATAAGCCCTGAAAGACAGATTAGTCAAACTGAGGCGAGAGAATCAAACTGAACAGTTAATACATGCTGTAGTTTAGAGAGGGGAGTGATCGCTTTCAGATGATAGTGTAGCACAGCTGACTAAGACACGTATCTCTAATGAAGTCTCTATTCAGCCATAAAGCAGCTCATGACTTTGGCAAACCATTAATCTCTGACAGCCTCAATTTCTTCAACTGAAAAACCTGGGAGACTATCTCTAAAGTCCCGCCCAGGTCCAGAGTTTCTTTAAGGTACTTCTTAAGATTCTTTTGCATCATATGACTTTTTGAGTGATGTTATAATTAGTGAATGGCCATATAGTTTATGGGAGTGAACTTAGAAACTATAAAATTACTCACTTCCATGAAAACAGTCATTATTTTAAGTTATAGATAACTTGACTTTATTTATATTAAACTTATATGCATGTGGCTTTAAAAAAGCTGTCAACTTGTTATATGTAAGTGTACTATGATTTCTTTCCTTCTATTGTAGTAAAAACCTAAAACATGAAACAAATTACATTGAAATCCTGACCTTCTTTCTTCCCTTTGCCTATAGACAGAGGATATTATTGAAAAAGGAAAATGGTCTCTTTCCTCTTGAATGTAAAGTATAACTGTGCCATTTCTAAATGGGGAAGGGGAATTAGTTGACATTAATTTGTTAAACCAACACTTATTTAAGTCTGCTGTGGGTCAGGCATTTGTGCCAGGTGCGGTGGTTGCACATATAAAAAGCATAGTCCCTGCTTTCCAATAATTCATAGCCTAGTAGGGAAAGAAAGGAAGTTCAGTAAACCACTATTTTACAGTGTGACACCATGAAAGTGCAGAAATGGAACCTCTGTAATTGATGTCTGCTCGCTTGCTCAGCAGCCACTCCCCCTTTTTTCTGGAATGGTTCCTGGATTTTCCCCTGGGAATTATCCTTCTTCTCATTCTGTGTACTTTGACTGGAGCTGTGGGCATATAATTCAAATCTGGCCAATCAGAACATCATATACTTCGGGCCACTGTGATTGGCTCAAGGATGGTTCCATGATCCAAGCCAAGCCAATCTGCTACAGTGACAAGCAATCTTGGGACACAGTATGGAACAGTCAGGGTACAGCAGTTATTTGGTTATGGCTGGAGAACTGGGTCTGAGTTGGGAAGATAAAGCTAAAATGGTAGGCAGCAACAATTTATGAAGGACCTTCTATGCTACACTGGAGAATCTGTACTCTTTCCTGAAGAGATAGGGAACTATTAATGGATTTTAAGCAGGGAGTTCACATGATCATGTTTATGCTTTAGAAAGATTAATCTGGTAGGAATATAAATGATGGGGTAGGGGGAAGATGAAGCCAAAAGCAAGAGAATGAATTAAGATGCCACAGTAGTTGTCTGAACCAGAGGTAATGAGAGACCTGAACCATAGGAGTGGCAGTGGGGATAGGAAGGAGAGACATAATAGGGATGTTCCCCAGAAGACATCAAAAAGGGGTAACATGATAGCAACACTTTCCTGGAGAAATTGTGGTCTGACTGCATCTCTAGTTCAGTAAATGGTAGTAATTTTCAGAGAACAAAAGCAAAATTTAAGTTTCATTTAAGACCATGTTTCTCAAACCTTAATGTGTACACAAATCACCTGGGGGTTTTGTTAAAATGCAGATTTTGATGCGGTAGTTCTGGGGTGGAACCTGGGATTCTGCATTTCCAAGAAGCTCCCAGGTGATGATGTTGTTGCTGGTCTGCAGACTACACTTTGAGTAGTAAAGATTTAGGATTTTTTGAGGTGTGAGTGGGTCATTCAAGTAAAAAGGGGCAGTAGGTGTAGGCTCTAGATTTTAGGAAAGAAAGAGAGACTTGGGCTTGAGATATTTGGGAGCCATCAGCATTTAGGAGGTGGTGATATCAGAATATGAAGATAATAGCCCAGGAATAGCTTTTGGAAAAAAGTAAAGAAGTCTAAGGATAGCCCATGAGTAGCACCAGAATTTAAGGGGCAGCTGTAGGATAAGGCTTAAGAATATGAAGTAGCAGATGAACCTAGGGTGCCAAATTTTCAATGAGAAATCTTTAATTCCCAAGCTTATTATATAAAATAATAGCTACCATTTATTGAGTATTTTATTCCTAGTACTCTACTAAGGGCTTCAACTTTTCTCCAAAACACAGGGCATAAGAAACGTCATTAAAACTTTTCTGTAATCACACCCTGTTACTCTGAGCTGGCGGAAAATTTATCCTGGGTCATTATCATGGCTCTACACATCACACCTAAGATTGCATGAAAGTTCTAGGGGGTCATACTTAGTCCAATACATTTGGGGAAGGCCCTCAAGTCTTCATTCAATGTTGGTTACTGCTAACATGCTCATTTCCCCAGCTGGTTTATCCTTTGCAGGTGAGCTGTTTTGCCAAGTGAATGCCAACCTTGGGCATGGGGTCTTGGCTATGGTTGAAATCTCTGATGCAGCCTTCCTAGTAGTACTACACATCCATTCCCATCTAAGGTCTTGCCACCTCCTTCACCCATTAGGTCCCCAATATTCACAGAACCAGCAACTCTCCTCTTCTGTTATTCCCTTTGGTTGCCACTTACTCAACCAACCTCGAAAGCTTCTAACCTCTCTCCACTGTGTGAAGAGAGAAGTACCTCAATGGGCACAGGTGTTTTGGTACAAAGGGGCCTTTTATTCCGCCCTAGGGCAAGGGAAGTCCCAAATCTTGTGCCAGAGCTATCTGGGGTAGTATCCAGTCATTCTTTTACAGCACTAACAAAACAAATTATTATCTTAATATCTCAACAAATCATCTTACCACATATGCACTGTCCCATGAAATCTTTACAACCACCCCATGGGTAATTCTCATTTTCCATCCTGAAGCTTGGATAAATTTAGAAACCTGTTTCCAAACAGCCATTAAGCAACTGTGTAGGAACTGTGAGCTACGTGCGATGGACTCTGGAGCAACGAGGGCGTGGTATCAAAACAGTTCCTATCAAAATACCTCGCTCTTGGTCATGTGTGAGTGGCAGTTACCAGACTCAACTTCAGAAACTTCACATAGAGGCGAGAAGTCTCTGTGTGTGCGCCTCTGATAGAGGGCTGGGGCTCCTTTAATCTTCACCACAGCCCTATCTCAATTTCACAGATGAAACCCTGAGGCTGAAAGTGGAAGTGACTTGCCCATGGCCACAAAGCCAAGAGTAGGTTTGCTGGGTCCCAATATGCTGTCCTTTCCATCATACCAAACTGAAGGGGCCTGCGAGCGGCTCGGAGTCTCGCCCCCAGCCAATCCCCAAAGCAAAAACACTTCAAATTACTTACCCTCCAAGGAAAATAAACTGGCACATGCGCAGTATGCACCAGCGACTCCACCCGAGAGGCCTCCGAGGCCTACTCAGTGCACATGCGTCAGGAGGCTCCTCCCGTCCCCGCCCGTCACTCCTCGCCATTCCCGTCACTCCCCGCCCCTTTCCCGCCCGGATATCAGCCTACTTTTGCCGGATGTTGTTGTGAGTCTGAGAGACACGTGAGACGCTGCTACGTCATCAAAGGCACGCGCAGCAAACATGGCGGCGGCGGTGGTTGTGAGCGGGAAGGTAGGTAACGGCCGCGGGAAACATTCCTGTTTTTCTTCGGGATGGGGCTGTTTTTGCTGCTTGGAGCCTGGCCGGAGAGGGATGCGAGGGCCTTTCTGTGTCAGGAACAGCCTGTGGAGGATGCAGGAGAAGATGACTAGGTGGTGTCAGCTGTTCTCTCGAGAATGCCGGCTCAGTCCGGGAATTAAGAGACCCGGCTCCTGCTCCAAGGCCAGCTAGGCCTCGGCGCCGTTCTGGTCGGCTCTGTTCCAGGGCGAGGGGCTTTTATTTGTATTGCCTTCTTAAGAGACAGGTGGTTGCCCCGTTGCTTTCTTTTGCTGTCTTGATTTTCTCTGACTGGAGCTCTTTATGTCTGCTCTTCGGACTCCAGGATTTTTTCTCTTCCTAATCTAACTCGCCTTTGCTTCACTCTGGTGAAGGCATCTTTGTCCTCTTCGGGAAGAGCTGAAAACAGGTGCTTTGCAGCTGTGCAAACCAAGAGTGTATTGGATCCATTTTACCAGGTTGCCGAGTTGGTTGGTGATGGTGAACAGCAGGGCATGTTTCCCTTCAGGGAGCTGGAGATTTACAGCATCGCACGCTTGTCTGGGAAGGCGTTAGTTACGGTATTTATTTCCTAGACAAATCTGTGATGTTCCCGTTGGAGACTCTGTGGTACCGTCTTACGGAGGTGGTCATTGACCCCGTCGTGATAGTTCGTTAGGAATTCGGATTAGGTGCGGAGGATAGTTTATCGCATAGTGCCTGTTCATGTTCCGAGGACACATCTTAATGCCTGTTGGTTAGGACTATCGTGGCATGCTACTGGAAGCATTTCCCATTGCGCGAGTATTTCGAAAACAGTTGGGTCGGGTAGTGACTCATCTAACACCAAGGACTACTTACTTTTCGCAGATAGCTTTCTCCGTTCCTTGAGTTTCACTCATTTTCTTTATGCTGCCCTCTCCATCCCATTTTGAATTATTTGACAGCGTTTGTGCTTTAGTGTATGGACCACTAGCCAGAATAACACAGTACTGTTACTCTGGAGGGTGACCTTGGGAAATTGAGCAAGCCTGAATTCTCCGTCCTTCATTTTCTTTATCCCCAGAATGGATGTGGCGCCAGGCATTATTTCTTGTATTGGAGTTGCTAAGATTACATGAAATAATAAAAACTTTATAAAAAATTACATACTTCTCCATACTGAGTATTTTAAATGATGGGTTGGTCATCGTTTTCAGATTTTCACGGTCTTTGGTTGTCTTGTCAGTTTTGTCTTCAGGGTGGATGCTGATCTTCTGCTTGGCTCACTACATATTTTAAGGTTATATTGTTTGATTTTTTTTTTATCTAGGACTTTCCAAGAAGGGATCCTTTCTGTTTGAACTACACTTTTTCAGGTGTGGATTGATTTTGATAGAACCCTTGAGATGAAGCAGAGTTGTAAAATATAAGACTTTTTCCACCCTTTCCTTCCAGTCATTGCCTTTCATAATGTGACTTATTAGTCTTTTATTTCTTAGCTCTGCTTCGTCACCTCATTTATTCTCACTCATTGCAAATTTATACCCATTCTCATCACTCCATCTAAATTATTTTTCCATGCCCAAAGCTGCCCTTCTCCCAAATAATTGTATGATGACCAGCAAAAGCCACTTATTCTTCCCTCAGCAAGTTCAGATCTAGTTTAATGGCATCATCATTCACCTGGTTGCATGTAAAACAAACTTGGAGATGTCCATTTCTATAACAACGTCTAAGCAATAACCAAGCCCTACCAGTTTTACCTTAAAGAGGTTTCTTAAATTTGCTGCATCCTCTTCATTCTCAGTGCTTAGTTCATTCAGGCATTTAGTCTTGAGCTCTTGGCTGATTTTTCTCCTTGTCTGCAGTCTCTTTGCCCACCGTCTCCTCTACACAACCACTGGAGTTATTCTCTAATGCACAAGTCTGATTGTCTCTTGCTTTAAAAAACAAACAAAAAATCTTAATTTTGTTATTGTCCCCATTGAAATAATACTCAAGGCTGGTTAACATGGCATAAAAAGCCATATTGTCTTTCTGGCTTTGTCTTATGCTTCCCTACTTCCCAGTCTTGTTTCTTTGGGACAGGGGAATGCAAAGAAGACACACACACACACATTTATGAAAGAGTGTGTATATGTGTGTCTCTCTGTATTTATTTATTCCTCACCCGCCACCCCAAAGGTTCAGCTAAGACCTGTCTAATTTAGAAACCTAGGGCAGTGAATGTTAACCAAGACTTGTAAGACTCACATGTGGTACTTTTAAAGAATATAGGTGCTGGGCCACAACCCAACTCTGTTGAATTAGAACCTCTTGGTGTTGAGATCTAGGATGTAGAGTAACTTTTCTACTAAGACTACTTTGCTTGCTTTGAACTTTGAGTGTAGGAAGTGATGGGGGGAGGAAGTTAATCTCTGTCATATGGAGAAGCAGTGTAAGATAACAGTCAAGAGCTTGGACTCTGGAGCCAAACAAGTTTCAAAAACTAACTTCACACTTGCTAGTGACTTCAGTCAAATTATTTAACCTCTCTATGCTTCAGTGTCCTTATCTGTAATATGGGGATGATAATAGTACATACTTTATGGGATTTTTAAGGTTAATAAGTAAATGTGTTAGAACAAAGCCTGGCACGTAGTAGATACTGTGTAGGTGTTATTCATCATCTTAATTTCCCGGCAAGTCATTGGTTGGGTATGGCAGAATTTTAAAGGTTTAGAATATGGTTTTTGGTATGGGTGTGAACTTCGTTTTTGAAATTACTTCAGTTCTAACTCTCAGTGTTATTTTAGGATTTGAAAAATACCTTGTTTTAGAAGTCACATAGTTTTGATGAATGAAAAATCATCACAGTAGGGCAGTGGTTAAGGAGATGGGAATCTGATTGCTTGGGTTCAGAACCTAGCTCCACGGCTTTATAGCTGTGTTAATTTGGTCAAATTTCTTAACTTTCTGTGCACCAGTTTTCTTATTTGTAAAATGGGGGTAATAATTATTTTCCATCATGGAATTGTAGAGAGGATTAAATGAGTTAATATTTGCAAAGCATTTAGAATAGTACCTGGCATCAGGTAAGTGCTTAAATTTTAGCTGCTATTATTACTATTGTTAAGGAAGATCTTTCAGACGGTCTTAAAGTTGTAAGGTTATTATTGATTTGGAAGTAGTTGAATGTTTATTTTTGCTGCCACTTTCTACAGAGAGATTAAGGCCGCTTACAAATATTAAAGCACTATAGTTATTTAAAATAAATCAGAGGGAAAAAACACAAAAGGAAAGTGAATAAGGGTAAGAAAGGTAAATGGAACTGGAAGTACGATTATTAAATAAACTCTATGCTTTAGTGGGCTACAGTTTTGCCAAAGAGGGGAACTTGATCAATAATAAGAATTACAGGATCTACAATAAAATAAAACCAGGAGCAAAACCCAAAAAAACTAGTTTCTGAAGATTAGATCCAAGGATAAACTCTTCTGTAGTTTCTTTATACTATGTACTATAATGAATTTGATTATATAGCATATTGTATCCTTATGGTTAAAAAACCCCACAACCCTATAATGCCCATTAGTATGCTGATGGTTTTATACCAGTGGCTAGCTAAGTAGTTCAGTGAATACAGGGTACTGATTTGATGTTTTTAGGTCTCTGATGATTTGACTGAATTCAGGGGTAGGTTGTTGTCAGCATGAGTGGATGGATTCAGTGTTTCATCTATGTATATTTTTCTTAGCTGAGCCTGTGAAAGTGGGTTTGAGTTTGATTATAAACCCTGATTAGTTCTTGGAGTTCAGCTATTCTTTGTTGCTATGTATATATAGAACCATATGTTTTAACAATCAACCAAATAGGGGGGAAAGATTGACATTCTGTTGTGAATTTTTTTTTTCCTGGCTGTGATCTTTATTTCCCGCAGTTTTATTGAGAAATAATTGATGTACATCACTGTATAAGCTTAAGACATACAGCCTATTGGTTTGATTTATATATATTGTGAAATGATTATCGCAGTAGGTTCAGCTAACACTCATCTTCTCATATAGATCCTCTTGTGAATTTTTAGGGGAGAAATAGGGACACTGACTGCAAAGGCTATCCTGCTTTAGGATAATTAATGGAATGAGTTGAATTAATGGAATGAGTTGACTCATTGCAGAGAAGGCGGGAGAAAAGCGATAGTCTGAAATAGGTTTTGGCCTTATACCCAGTGCCTCTGATGGTTGCAGTTTACTTTTATTCATTTATTCAACAAATATTTATTAAGTATCTGCTTTCTTCCAGGCACTGTTTTAGGCACTGGGGATACATCAGATAGCCCCTTACCTTGGAGATTACAGACTTCAGTTCTTCAGAAGGAAAACATTCACTAAAAACCACTTGCTTGTTTAAATAAGAAAGTAAATATGAGTTTTAGGTCCTTGAAGTGGTGCTAATTTTAGTGAATGTTCGTTTTCTTGAGACTTGTAGACTGATCCTCATGAGGGCAGGGCCTGAAATGTTTTACCTGTGTCTGGCAGACATTCTGGCATATAGTAGGTATTCAGTGAAGAAGAAAGAGCAAGAAAGTAGAAAAAAATGAAGGGAGACTAGAGGAAGAGAGGTGTGTTCACTAATAGCACTCTTGTTTTGGAGTTAAAAAGTCCTGTTTTAGTATATTTGCATTTCACTCTAGGTCTGTGTTTTTACTGTGTTAGGCTGTGTTAGAATTTGGTTCTATTGAAAATAACTTGAAACAATTGGGAAATCACCTGTTATTTTTTCTTTGAGTTTTTTTATGGCATTTTTAATAAGAATTTATTTTGTAGCTTAAATTTGGTCCCTTCCAGTTCCTTTTAGATATGCTTGTAGTCCTGTGAAACCCCTTGCTTAAGAAAGATTAAGATTCTTAGTATCTAGCAGGTTTTCCTGGAGAATTTTCTTAGACTAGATCTTGTAACATGGTAGTAACCTTCCTTGTGTAGGATACAATATGAGTATGTCTTCTTTATTTT